CTCTGCCTGCACACACTGCCATCCATAATTTAGTGATGACAGAAGGGTCTGTTTTACATGGCAGATTTGCAATCCCTTGGAAGATTTCTACAGCAGGCTGGGATAACTATCACAGAGCTGTATATTGTGGAAGCTCTTAAGGGTTCAAAGCAGTCAAGCTGCAGAGGAGCGAAAAGGGAGGGAGGGTGAGGGAGTTTATGTAACGTGACATCACAAGTAGAGCTTTCCTGTAAAGTTAGCACAAGTACCTATGCTAGAGGTGAGTGTGTGTGTGTGTGTGTGTGTGAGTGTGTGTGTGTATCATATCCTATCAGATCACCTATCCTCATTCTTGTACATGACCACTTTCATCCAACTCAAGAGGATATATTATCTGAGGAGGTTACACTAAGGACACTGTACATCCTTTGAGGACAGAACACTTCTGCTGAACATGCCAAGTGTTTCTGCTACAGCTGTAAAATGTTTTGTCCTGTAGCCCAGCAGCCACTTACTGTTGGATTTAAGTTATGCATCACAAACAAGATGTTTAAAAAGACAACTGGTTTGTTCCGCATGAGTTGAATAGATACACAAATATGACTTGTTCTCTCTGTGCTCAGTATTGATCTGATATGGCCATGACCAGATTAAAAATATTGCTGTTGTTGTGTGTTTTTATGAGCGGCTGAGTACGCTGAATGTATCTGCTTGTATGCACTGTGGTCATGTTTTGCTGTAGACTGTCTAGTTTGTGTTTCTCTGAGAAAGGTTACTATCTTTGCCTCCATGTGATAATGTTACTGTAAGAGGCTACATCTGACAGAGTTGGCAAACAGCTTCAACTTGTACTGCATTTATAATACAGACCTCTACACATGACCACTTTCTCCTTATACTTAGTACCATATTAATAGCACAGGCCTTTCTTGGGGGGAAGTAAAGTATTTTTACAGCTAAATTTTAGAAAATTATGGGGAAGGTTTCCAGGAAATTAGCTGGAAAATATGAGACATAAAATAAGGCCAAAATATCTTTGAAAGCTCTTCAGTCGAAGCTCTCAGCCTCTCTTTTACTTAAAAACCATCCTCAATCACAACCTTATTTTGTGTACAGTTATACCCTTATTTTACCAGCTCATTTTATCTCTCTTTCATGCTCTCTTGCATTGTCTTTCACCCACTCTGTGCTAATTGTGAGACCACAATTAAAGCTGGAACCATTTTTATCTCATAATAAATTATTTATTAGCTTACATTATTCAACAAATGTAATAAGTGCTGAACCCTGGTTAAATGAATAATGGAATGGCAGTCATTTAACAAACATTTCACACTTGGTCTAACTGGCAACAGCTTTCACATAACTACAGGGTATTCAGGCTGCCCTCCAGAGCCGTGCTGTGCTGAGCTGCACTATGTTGGCTTATGGTCTACCTTACTGTGTCATTCTGCACAGATGCCTATCACACATTTTTATGCTGTAACAAGGGACTCCTGTGTCTGCCACATATTCATTTGATATAAAATGTGCTACTAAACAAAAAAACTCTTGCCAAGAATTAGACGAGAAGACTGACACCACTTACATGTCTCTGTACACTGAATATAAAGCTATTGCCAGCTGCCAAGAAACAGTCTGGTACCTAATCCTCCATGAAAAAGTGAAATTTTTTTGTTATGCTTTAGAAATGTAACATATGAACAAGGTATAATTTGTTCACTTGTGAGCTTTAGGGGTGTTTGTTGGAGCATTTTGTTGCCTTTGAACAAAGTCAGGCTAGTTTGCCCATTTCTAGTACTTGTGCTATTTGAGAGTGGTATCAATCTTGTCATCCAACCCTCAGCATAAATAACTGTATTTCCCCCTTATCAAACTTTTCCTCAAACCCTTTCCAAAAGTTAAGGCAGTTTAATGAGATTTATTTCACATTAATGTATCAATGTTCAAGATTAGCAACAGCAATGTTTTCCATGTTCCATGGAAGTAAACTGATGTTAAATCGGAAAGTGATATAATAAGTAAGACCTTTAAGAGCCCAACACAGAGTGCATGATGCTAAATAATCCTGGTTATGACTGGCTCATCATCACTGAAGGTGAAAATGTGACATCTCTTTGGTTTTTGCTACTTGGCCTTAATCCCTGTACCACTGTGAAAGATGGCGGTGTATCTGGCATTAAGAGAAGTTGACAGAAGATGACAAATAGTAGATAATAAAGAGTGGTCCAGAGGAAAGAAACAGGGTGAGGTTTAGGTGAGCTGTCAGCTAATCAATGTTACTTGAATGTCAAGCTTTACTGTTAAACTGCAGACATATCAAAAAAAGAAAAACCAACAAAATGAGTTTTTAAGAGCTATTTGCAAGATGAACTGTCTGGTCTTGTGTACAGTTCATTTTAGTATATACACACTACACACATACAGATTTCCTTCTCTACACTTTCATATTGCTTACTTGGCCTAAATACAATTTTGTCAAGTCTGTTGTCACCAAAGATAAAATTGATCTTTGAGTTCAACTTCAGTGACTGATACACAAATTCATCTCAAGCTGTCTTGACAGTGCTGCATTAGTCTTGCTTACGTACACATCTTTGTTTTTGCCTTCAATCGAGGAACGAAATATTGTGTAAATCAGTTGCTCATCTTCTGTGCATGTGATTCACATCCATCCAAACTTTTGATGTGCTCCAAATACCTGTCACCCAATACTGTCTACTGACATTTATACCCAGTATCCTGGATGCCCAAAATAAGTCCTTCAACTTTAAATCTCTATATAATACCTTCTAATATTCCATGTACCAGACAAACAGCTGACCCTTATGACTTGAAACAACCCATTCAGACAGTGCAGACACCAAACCACATCACTAACACTTTCTTGGTGAGCTGCACTTCTGTACTTCAAAGGCAAACTTCTCTTACTTTGACTTGAGTTGCACTGAACTCCAGCAGCACTGTTTACCTCAAAAAATATATTTTCCCACTCTTCACTCCTCCGCTCACTACTGTACAAAGCAAAGAAAAGTGACTCACTCTTTTACATAAAACAGATGAAGCTGTCATTATGGGGCAATTATTTTGGAGAAAAGTTATGCAAGAAAGGCATTGATTCTGTCAACAGCACCTCCCACCACCTGCTGTCACACAGCTGGGCACTGTTCTTTCTGCAGCAGCTCTTTGATTGCAGCGCTCCGCTGTATTGGGTAAAAAGGCTGTAATGTTAAGAAAATTGTCTTGAATAAGGTGAAATTGAGATGCAAACAGTGGATAATTACCAGCCACTCTGTTGTGTAGCAATCATGTCCAAAGGCATGATGTGCTGATTGTTGGCCTGCAGGCACAGACAATGCTGTGTGTATATGTGGGCATTCACCACATACACTCAGTTGGCAGGTGTTTGTATTATATGGTCGACTCCATTTACATCATTGAGGCTAGGATAAATAATAGAAACACGTCTGTGTATCATGCAGTACAGTTAACAGCAGCACAAACTACCTATGAAAATACTAGGAAAGTATTAGGAAAATATATTCAAACAGAATAAAGGAATGGTTTGTTTGGGGTTTTATTCTGTCATAAACAATACATACATTTCAGGTTCAATTTGCAACAGGTTGGAAATTTGCCTGTAAATTGCTTCACTAAATTATAATACAGAAATGTTAGAGACCTTAGGGCAACATCTGCACTATTATGTAATCCAATCCTGAGGCCAAATCTTGTACAGGGCCCCAGCGAAAATGTAGGTGTAATGCCTTTATTATTTCAGTTTATATTACATGATAAATCAATTTGTGCTTTTTTTAAAAATTGCATCAAACTAATTACTGACCTCTAACTGATACAGAAAGTCAGGGACAGCAGTGGCCCAGAGCTTTCTGTTGCCCTGACCCCCCTCAGGTGTTAAACCAAACTAGAATACTCAAATACGTGCATAAACATTCACAAGACCACACACACACACACACACACACACACACACACAAAGATACTAAGATACTCTAGTGTCTTAGCAAACTGCATATGATTACAATTCTTCCAAGCAGTTTCCTTCCCATTCCAAATGCAATTCATGCTGCCATGCTATGTGGATGATTATCATGCACTTCCCTTATTTTATTGCCAACTGTAAACTGGATTTCATTTCACCACCCTCTCCCTTTACTGTTTCCTTCTCATCCCTTCCTCAGTCTATTCCCTCATTATTTCACCTTTCTCCATCTTCTCCTCAGCTTCTCCTCATTATAATCGCCTCATTTTCTCTTCTCTTGATGTGATCATTAATATCAGGTGAAAAAAGAGGGAAAAGCAAGGCTCAGTGGGTTATATGCATCCAATCAACAGAGGGCACCCTGAAAAAAAGTCACCTTAATTTGTTTTTTCTCTGATTTTATGCCAGAACTGAGAGCTCATCAGAAAGACACAAACATATCACTCAAGTTGAAATTATTCACAGAGTGTGATTCACACAATGATGTAACTCATCACAGTTAGAAAAGAAGCAAAGATGGTGACATCCCGGTAAATTTACATAATCATATCTAACCATCAGAATCAAAATAACATGAAGAAACACAAATATAGTGTTATGTAGGTGAAATGTTTTTACAAATGTATTTTTTATTCTTATATGTTTTTCTAAACATATTAAGGCTGTGTTATAATTTTGTATTTTATAAAACTGTTGCTGTCTCTTTTTTATTTTGTAAACTCTGTTCAGTAAGTTGGTGCTTGTACAGCATGTTGTAGCACTTACAAACTTCAATAATAATAATAACCACCCCTGATAAAAAGTAAAAAGACTGTGCTTTTATTTCCAATTTTTAACAGGCATAGTTCAGACGTCTTATTTTCCCCTGAAGGACCCTTCATTTATTCCAACATGGCGTCGTCCATACGGGTGTGCTGTGCCCTCCGCATTACAATTGGAGGTGAATTATTTGTCTTTATCTTTCACAATTTAGTTAAAACAGCTCAGCGTTTACGTCGCACCACGTTTCTGCGTTAGAGTTTTCGAAATGTGACTGTTGTTTCTGTCATGTTCTGTTTACTGACCCGATACCAGTCTGTCATTGCTGCAGGCCTGTCACGAATAACTTCATCACTGCAGTCGGAAATAGTGTTTTGCATGCAGTTAAGAATACTGATTAGGTGATGATTACATGTTATATTTTTACCACAAAAAACAACAACAACAACAACAAAACACTGGCATTGTACCTATTTAGAGTTTGAGCGTTTCCCGCTTATGTTACTTGTGTATTTCTCACCATTGTACGTGTTTAACTTGGTGTAATTTAGTAATAGTCTCAGGCATTGTTGGTACTGGTGATTAACACTTCAGTCTTGTTTATGGTAAATAGTAGTGATTCCAAAGTAGGCCTGAAACAATGATTTATCTGCTCAACAAAACGTCATTTAAAATCGTTTCAGTGTAAACACGCCTTGCTTGTTGGTAAATGTAAACGCCTCTGATAAAGTTTTGCATGTTTTGTCATGAAGCTGATGGCAGGACATAAGGAACTCCAAGAGCCTCATGGCTGTGTCTTTGTATGTTAAACTTGCTTGGTGTCATTCACATAATGCTAATGCAGTTCTGTTGCATCTCTCTGTTTCAGGTGCAGCACAGCTGCGTACAGCTGTGGGAGCAGTTCAGATGTCCCAGGTGATGAGTCGAGCCTCAGCTGCCTTGCTCCAAAGAAACCCACCACTTCCACTGTTCCCTACAACAGTGTGGCAGCAAACCAGACATGGTAGCTTCTTTAACAAGTGTAAGTACATGAAAAGATTATTTCCAAAATATCTTGTCCCTTCTGCAGTAATAACAGATTTGCAAATGCATATATAAGTTTTGTTCAATGATGCATGTGTCCTTCTGGTTGTGTGATAGGTTACATTGCACAGTTGTTGTGCATCTCTTCCTCTTTGTTCTTTTCATTGTTTCTCTTTTACTTTGTCTAAAGATAAAGCAATATATATAATAATGGACAAAAATATGTGAACAGCCCTATCCTAATAATGTGTGTGCTTTTGGTCTGGGGCTGTTTTTCATGGATTAAATAGAATCCTTAGTTTCAGTTAAAGGAAATGACATTGCTTCAGTATTCACCAATATATTTAGACAGTAATTATTATCCAACAATGTGGCATCAGTTTCTTGTTTGTGTGACAATGCCAGGTCCAAAAGACATGCAGAACATGTAGATGCATGTTTTGAATACATTCCAGATGGATCAATGGGCATATCCAGTTTACAGCATTTTAAGAATCTTATTCTGTGAGTGTACTACAGGTCTGGTTTGGGACAGTGTATCCTCTTTAGTTGCCAGGTCTTTGCCAACACTAACAGTTTATGGTACTTTAATTACAGCCTCTAGGCGGTCCTATGTCTCATTTGTTGGACATCTTTATTCCTGGCTGTTAGAGCCCTAAGTGTTCATACACTCTGAGTACAGCTTGCTTTAGTGGGACACCTATATTTAGTTTCTAAGTGAAATTGCTGATACAACATTTTGCTATAAAACAATGTGACATGTATTGAGGGCTTGGAGAGACAGGACACAAATTCATGTGCAGCCTTGGAGCTAAACTCGCTGCTGTGAAGGTGTAAGGTGAGAAACTGAGGACGCTCATCAAATTCTAAATCTGCTCTGTATTTTTGGCTTTTCAGTCAGGACAGACAGAAAGTGGTCCTAAAAGAACTGCTCTAGTTAAGACAAATTTTTGTAGAATTTGAATGGGAATGTACAGTGGAGAGGCTGCTCATGGTCTTGTGGTATTATGCTTTAGATTTTAATTATTTAATCATTGTTTTTACTGTGAAGCTCTGAGGTGCATGTGCTTTATAAATAAAGTTGTTTTCATTATTAATCTCATGATTATTTTCTTGAGTAGCCATTTAAACATTTAGTCTATAAAGCATCAGAAAGCAATGAAAAACATATTGTGACCTGCATAAGTTTTGTTTTGCAGATTGAAAGTATAAAATTTACCATAGCCCAAGAAAAAAAAAACACCTAATTTTCACATTTGAGAACCTGGAACACAATGTTAAAACTGAATAAACTGCACCTTTAATGGTAAAAACTAGATTCACAGTACCATTTTGAAGAAGTCTGGTTTCCATCAGTACACTGACTTCATAAATCATTCTTTGTTGTAGTTTTTGGGTACTTTTGATGCTTTTGTTTGTAATGTCAGCACCAACACTAAGCTGATGACCTCCGTGTATTTTATTTTATTCGACTGCCACTGTGTGTTCAGCAAAGTGTGAGTAGTGGTAGATGTCTCACAGTTTTTACTTACTTTGTATGTTTAATGCCCCTCCTTGAACCGCCACGTTATTGAGGTGGAGGGGTTTGAGTACCCGAGTGATCCTAGGAGCTATGTTGTCGGGGGCTATATGTCCCTGGTAGGGTCTCCCAAGGCAAACAGGTCCTGGGTGACGGGTCAGACTAAGAGCAGTTCAAAAGCCCTTTATGAATAGATTAAGATCAAGGACCGTGACGTCGCCCGGCATGGCGCAGCCGGGGCCCCACCCTGGAGCCAGGCCTGGGGTTGGGGCTCGAATGCGAGCGCCAGGTGGCCGGGCTTAGCCCGAACGAGCAACGTGGGGACATCCTCCCGTGGGCCCACCACCTGCAGAAGGATCCGTAAGGGGCTGGTGCACAGTGGATTGGGCAGC